GATATAAGGGGAGAGGGAAAGGAAGAGTGGAGAGAGTTTTATTAGTGGGTGCCGGTATCGGGAATATAAGGCGCAACAACGTAAAAAGGCGAAGGTACCGCGAAGAGAGGAGAAACTGGAAGATATAACGGAGGGAGAAGGAGGAATCGCAGGAGGGCGAGATAAGGAGGAAGAGAGAGAGAGGCGGAGGAAGAGACGCAGCGTTGAGGAGAAGAGGGTAGGTGGGCGCGAAGAGGCAGCGGGGCCAGGTCCCGAGGGACTCTGTGCTCTCCTCTGGTGCTGCCAGCACTCGGGAACGCGAAAGAGGGAGAGGACGGCAGCGGAGAGCAGAGAGGAGGGAAGGGGAGAACTAATCAGCTCGACGCATGCGCACGGGGCTGCTCTTAGGGTCCCCCGGGATTCCCCTGGCATTCCCCATAATATACCCTCTTCTCCCCTAATCCCCCGCCGCACCCACGCAGTGTGCCCTCCCGAACCCCCCTAATCCCCCGGCCGCCCTCTTTACCTCCTCCGCAGCCTCCGCTTGGTCGCAGCTGTACCGACCGGCTCTACAGGACTTTCCAGCTTCCCAGAGGGGAGTCAAGATCAAGACCGCTCGATGCGATTATTTTACGTTGATTATTTTACATTGTGTACCTTGTTATTATAAATCAGAAACGCGCAGAAGCACGAGAGAGAGAGAGAGAGATGCGCTGAATCACTTTGCTTTAACTACATCTTCTTATATCTTGTATTTTATCTGTTCTCGATCACGCATGTCGACTGCCTCTACATATGCTTCTCAAAATAACCTGTTCCTTCTATTTTGTGCAAATAAAATTATACATGTATAAATGTAATAGGATACTTTCTTGGCAATAAATATAAGTTACTTCAATTACAAGCGAGCAAAGTGTTTTTTCTCCCTATATACCTCTCTTTCCTGACTACTCGAATCTGTCACAGCAATTATTACAATATCCTGCGAGACAATCCACGAGAGAGAAGGATATTTCGCGAGTGATGTTACAATCTTCCCTGCCGGCCCCCGGCCGCGCCGCGCCGTCACCCACCATCGGGCCTGAGGAGTTGCCGGGTTTCCCCATTGGAATTCGAGATCCCCCATTTTCTTAATGTCAGAGATTTCAATCTGTCACGAGAGCGGCTCGGCAACTTTTCGCTTATCCGCCCGACAATTTCCACGGCGGGCACCGCCAAAGTTTTGCGCACCGTGCAATTTAGCTCGCATTACTTTTCGCCGGTGATTCGTCAGCGCGGGAGAGAAAGACATTCTCCAGATAAGGGACCTACACGCGAGTCAATCAACAGGCAAATATAAATCAGAAGTTATGTTAGGTTTCGGGGGGGGGGGGGGAAGAGGTCCACTTTGGTATTTATTTTGATACCGAGTGGGAATATTTCAGGAATTTCACATCGTCGTAATTGCCAAAATCGACTTCAAATTGATCACAGAACTTTCATACCTTAGGCTCGGTTTCACCAAACGTCGCTTAACTTTGATCTCAGTTTAATTCATGTTTGTCTTTTTCTAAAGTAACAGTTGGAAAGGGACAAAGAACGCATTAAGCTGAAAGTTAAGCAACGTCGGTGAAACCGGGTCTTAATCACCTATTTTTAAATTTGTGCGAAAGGCAAATCGAGATTCGGTATTCAGTAGAAAAAAAGGAAAAAAAAAGATTCCAGCGTTAAGAGTATCGATGATTGACTCCATTCGCACGTAATAACAAGAAAGTGAGAAAAGAGGGAAACGGAAAATCACATAATTCGATCGGCTGAATAATCGAGTCTCGGCGGGGGTTGACTTTTCGAAGGGCTTTCGATTTCTGTCTCTCCTTCTCTATCTTTGTCTCTCTATCGTCTTTTCTTTCTATAGCTGGCGGTTACAATAAGGCGTCAGCTCGCATTCTCTCTTTCGTTTCCTCTGTTTCTTTACACCTCAATGTACCTTTACGGCGACAGCAAGTCCTCAGATATTCCCCGGATGATGATGATAATAATATACAGACGCGAGGACGTTTAAACATTTGTCTTCGTCGTGTTGCCGGAAGCTCGTTGCGAAGTCATTAGCAATCCCGCGTGAGTCAAGGTATCATGTTCGAAATTCGCATTTCTATCTTTAGAAGGGAGCGCATATTATTTGTACGCTCGCAAATAATGAAATGCGCATTTATTCACTTGCACCGTGCAACGTAGGAATTTTTGTATCTTTTTTATGGACAATTGTGTCTAAAAGAACGCGGTTCATTACAAAGTTAATTACTTTCTCAATGTATTAACTCAATTTAGCTTCAAAGAGAAAGAGTATATCGGGAGATGCTAATTTGACATGCTTTGTCTTGAGATACTGCTGAGGGGATTCCATATGAGCCTTAATAAGATGAAAAGTATTGCCGACACGAGCCAATTTCTTCCGAAAAGATGATAGGATGGCGCAGGTGGCAAAGGATTCTGCACTACATATTATGTCGATATCTCCCATAACTGAAATCCCATTACAGACTTATATGCCCCTAAAGTAACGCTTTGACAACATCTATTCTCACCAAAATAATATATAACTTAATATAGCAACTCGCTAGTGATGTAATCCATTTAAACGTCGTTTAAAACTATTGCAGTTCAAATTTAAATGTTTTTATGTGTACAAAAATGTAATCGTCAAAAAACATCCTTATTTCACTCTCTTACGTTTAGACATATGTATATTACTCGCGATTAAGCTAATATTCCGAAGGAATCGATGCGTTTGTGCATCTCTAACGTAAGTCTCGGCGGAATAATCGCATGGTTAGATAGCATGTCACAAGCGTTAGAAATTCTTGTCGTAGTGGAGTGTATGTGTCGTGCATCAATTATCACCTCGCCTTAAATAAATTAGGGGAGTAAGTGCGTTATTGCGTCTCGCGGCTTGCCAAAATCGGTTAGCGGATTATTACGTGACACACACGTCCGGATAGAATATCGAAAGTAAAAAATGCCGCGCTGTAAATAAAAGAATTTAGAACTGTCAAGCTGGAGTTTCGTTCGCGTCGTACACGAACGAACACGCGCTATTTCGTGATGATAAATGAATACTTGAAATATTATCAAAACGCCAAGTTCGAACGTAGCAGTTTGATGAAAAAGCAGATGCGAAAGTGTATGTCACGTCAATTACATCTCGCCGAGTTGAACGACAAACTTGGAGGATCCGAAAGTGAAACATAACTCCAGCACTAATATCTTAGCAGTCACTTTGACCTGCATTCTCATAGTGTATTTAGTTTATTTAGTTTAACGTGAGATAATTTTGTCATACAAAAATAATGTAAACTAAGTGTAAAGGATACGAAATCTCTTTCAGAGAGATTTTTACCATGAAACAAATGGCTCGAGGAAATAGATTCATAAAAGAAGTTGATTAAAAAAAAATGGTCGTGAAGGCAAAAGGCTTAAAGAAGCAAGTCACAAAAGCTAGTTTTAAAAATATTCACCGATCATTGCGAGCGAAAGGTATTAGTGTGCCCGCTGGGTTGAAAAACGAGGGGAAAAAAAGGAAAGAGGGAAAATAACGATGTCCCAATGGTTTAATGAGCGGCGTGGGTACACGGAGCATTAAAGAAGCGAAGGAAGCCCGATGTTTTCAGGTAAGCAGACGGACGAGGCATCTCCCGTGGGAGCGCGGGCCGCCTCCTGCGGGAGGCAACCTCGTTCTCCGCGAGCTCCTCCAAGCCGGTTTTACCTCCGAGTATAAAGCGCGCGCGCAAGTACACTTTGCGAAAGGTAACCTGAAATAATAATCGTGCCGTACGTACGGGGGAGCGGATAAAGGTTTGATCTTCCTGGCCTCCTCGGGGAGGAAAACTGCTGGATACTTGGGAAAGGTACGAATCTTTCGAGACAGTTTCGCTAGTTACGTAACAAGGGCGGTACCGTAGGGCACACGCCGCGCGCACACAGGGGACGCGGAAATTTTACTTAGCGCAAAAATAGTTCGGATAGAAACTGTCGGGAGACTGCGGAAGAAACGAAAAGTAGACGTCGCGAGAGAGATACTGTCCGGTTAATCTGTTGGCCGTTTCGTTGCCCGTCTCGCAGGTGGGAGTGAAAAATTTATTTACGGTAGAGAATTAAGTGACGGCGGTGAGATAAATTTCCATTATACTCTTGCCTATCGTTTGAAAGAAAATTAATCGGAGTAACAAGGACCACGTGCGAAAATTGCGGGGCGAATCAACGGGGGGAAATTCCGAATGGCGGGCGCCTAACGTTTAACCCTTTTCGAAAAGGGAGCATTTACAGTAATTCAAGAGAGCGAAAAATATGTTGTCGCCAAATGTATTTTCTGCATTTTTCATTCAGCTCGAATACGCGGATGGAATACTTCGCGATAAAATAATCGAACATGCATATATTCGCGTATAACCGCGTGACCAACGAGGGGCTAAAATCCTGTCATTCTGTCGACAAAAAGCCGACGCACGCCTCATCATCCGCGCGCGGGAAAGAGGCGAAAAATGCGCGATGTCGGCATTGTTCGATGCACATGCACTCATGCTTGGGATAGGTACGTGCCGCGCGTCCCCCAAGGGGCCAAGGAATCCCATATTCATGGGATTTATGGCGGGATCGCGCTTCTTGAACACCTTCGAACAACAATGACAATGCATCGCGACGCATTGTTGCGTGCCCGTAGGGCAATTCGAGTAATGCACCAGAATGCACCGACTTTCTCTCACTCTTTCTCGTTCTCTCGCAATTTCTTCGCATTGTTACGCAAAGGAGGCCGGTTTTGCGCCGGCGGGAGGGTTCTCATTGCGCAGGCCGATCGATTTTACTGTCAATTTTTATACAGGAAGATCGTGGCTTGCGCGAGGCGTTCGGGAAATGCTGTGCATTGGAAATTTGGAAAACGAATGCTCGAAAAATTATCCAAGTGCACGCAACAGCAGATATTACGACTCGAATAGCGAGAAGCAACGACATTTTATTATTTGCATTTTAAATACAATGTTTCTTACCTTCTGACTGACGGCTAAACGCTCGTTGCAGCTCCTCCTCTTCCTCCTCTTCCTCGTCATCCTCTGAAACATATGAGCGGACGATTGCTTATAGTTTCAACGAAATTAATTCTAATTTATTTCGTATCAATCGCTGCAATATCTGCTAAATAAAATTGTCCCGTTTAATATCAATGTTTACGTTGCAAATATTCGCTCGCCGAACGAAAGATAAATAAATTTCGTAATCCACCGCAAATGATTTAATTTAGGTCGAGCTCCCTGCTTCACGACTTTCCCAAATTTTTATTATACAAAGTGCGGAAAACACGTTCCACTTATCCTGTACGATTCGCTTGTGCAAACGTTGCCACCTGTTGTACGTAAATACTAAAGAAAAGTCCATGAGAGCTGGCAGTCTAACAAATAACACTCACGCTTAATCGCCGTCGTTTCGTTATCCTGTTCGGCCGCCTCCAGGACATTCTGCTCGTTACCGTCGTCCCACTCTTCGTCCCCTGCACAGAGGGAGAAGCCACCGTTAATTCTATTACATTTGCATATCACCGGTAAAGAGCGAAATCCGCAGCTGCCGCGAAGTACACGCGACGCAAACGCAAGATTCCCGCATTAAATCCCGTTGCGGGAAGTCGCCGAATCTGTCGCTACGCGTAACAATCGTTTTTAAACTCTCGTAAACAAAGCTATCTAGTCGGGAAAATCATTCGCTGTATTGTACATCATCAAAAAGCGGAACAACGCGGGCCGTTGTTTTTCGCCGATAAAATATAACCGGTCGGTGCGTACGGGGTGGCGGCACCATCACCCGTTTGTCACGTGGGACCGCAGAATTAAACTTAAAAATTACACCCTCGTACGCGTGGCCAACAGGTCGGTTGTTATTTCGCATGGCCTCCGACCTACCGTCCTCTCCTCTCCCGGTGATTCGCTTTTTCATCGTCGCGGGGAGCGTGTTTACGCCGTAAACTTGCCACTCCGAAAATTGAGCGTCAATTGCGCCGAGTTTTCGAAGGCGATAAAATCGGCGTGCGCCGCGTCCCGTCGCGCTATCGAGGTTTCATCCGGGCATTTGTCATTGTTAACGATTGATTGAGTCAACAAGCCGTGCGAAGGGGCTAACAAGTCCCAGCTAATTGCTGAGTGATTTGCCCGAATGCAAATTACGCGGAAAACTGCGTTTATCGGAATAAAGATATTTATCAGTCGTCCTACAAATAGTCGCAGTTAGGTGCAAATTAGTTCGTGTTACACTGAAAAAAAATTTCGCTACCGTAGCTAATCGTGATTTGCTAAAAATATTTTGCTGCGTTAACTGATAAATTTCTGAACCAGGGCAAACGGTTTGCTGTCGCATCTAATACAATAGGCGCAGTAGCAAAATATTAGATATCGCAACTAAATATTAGCTGTTCAAATTACCCGGAAAACTGCGCTTATCAAAATTAAGATATTTATCAGTCGTCCTACAAATAATCGCAGTTAGGTGCAAATTAGTTCATGTTACACTGAAAATAAAATTTCGCTACCGTAGCTAATCGTGATTTGCTAAAAATATTTTGCTGCGTTAACTGATAAATTTCTGAACCACGGCAAACGGTTTGCTGTCGCACCTAATACAATAGGCGCAGTAGCAAAATATAAGCTGTTCATATTTTACAACTGAAATTCAGTTAGCACATGCAGTTCTTAGCTACGACATTTTTTTCCGTGTACCAAAGTAGCGATAAATGAAATATAAGTTGCTCCTAAGTTGGATCTCGCGTGTACGCTACAATTATATCAAAACGTTAAAAAAAAGGGAATCTAATAAAAAAAAGTACACGCGCAAATTAATTTTGATCCAATCGCGAACCAAACGTTGCTCCAACCGCGCCAAGTTAAACGTCAGACGAGAAGCAACGTCAAATCTACAGACGGGGCGGTGGGGCTTAAATATTCCAGAAGACACGACGCGAAGGTACCGCGTCCTTCGATCGTGCACCTCGGCGCCCTACGAACCCTGTCAGCTGTCAGGCATGTCTCGCGCCAAAACGCGGTTCGCGTTACCGGTGCGATATCACGGCGGTTAATGGTTCATCCATCATCGTGTAACCGAGGACTTTCGGCGAGTTTCGCTCGATTCGTTAATTGTTCCAGGCGAGATGATGCGTGCCCGTAGATTACCATCCGAGTTTCTTTCTCGGGCGCAAAAAGCTATCATTTATAACCGCGAAAGAATAATTTCCTAAGAAAAAATTCCTTCCCGTTTTCCCCGTCACATTTTTCCAAAACGGAGATATTTAACAGATATTGCAGAGATGTTAGTTCTGGCGAAACGCGATCGTATTACTCACGTCGGCGTATTCAATTTATCGTAAAACATCGTAAACAATTTGACGATGAGATGGGCTGAGCCTTTATGGCAATAATCACAAAGGTAGAGGGTGGGATCGGTTGTATCGGCTCGAGGGCACCCTCTCCGCACGTACACCGTACCTATAACGCGCGTACGTCGTTTCGCAACGAGCCAATGTAATACGGCCTGGCCTAGACGACGCTATTCTCAAGATGGTCCGGGGGAGAAGGTCGGCGAAGGTGGCCGCGCGAGGGAGAGGCGGGAGGTAAACTCACGAAAATACAGGTTGCAATCTCGGCCCGAGCTCCGTGGCTAACGTTAAACGGATGTGTTATTATGGCTTCGGCATGCACGCCGGGCAAGATAACTGCATATTGCGGCTTAACCCCTTCTAGGAGGATCATTCGAGTCACGATGCCCCCGTCTCTCGATACCTCCCGCGGTGGAAGTATATCGCGTCTTCCAAATAATAACGTTTTATCTTGATTCGTAGGAATTTCCCGAGCTGGCGATTTCCGCTGCCTCCGTCTTTGCCGATGTCAAGCGCTTTAATCGGCTGACTTGGACTTTTTGTACGTCGCTATTATACATTATTATATACAATTTATTTAATCATAAAGAACAAATGGAAGAAGTAGGAAAAATTAGCAGTTAACGCGGATGTAAAACATGGAATTACTAAATAAGCTTGGTGGCGTTTAATAGAGCGTGGATAAATAAAAGTTTTCATCTATCAATGCCTAAGATCAAATTTCCTCCATCTTTCCATGATCTATGGCGAACGATTTCCCCAGAGCGATTACAAGTTAACGCAATGTTCAAATAATTTCGCGATGACATATCCCTCTCGTTCCGCGTCAAGTCCCGCGAGCTGACCTCACCGGTAAACCCTTCCGGTTGCATCGGGGCGCGTCGCGATCCTCGCGGAAGTCGGCAAGGGTCCGCGAGTCATTAATCGATACGGCGCGAATAAAGGAGCGCCCTGCGGGTTATATCCTGGGCGCGCGCGATATCTCTATCCGCGTTGCAGCCACCGTACGTCTTGGGGTCCGTGACAGGTAGGCAAGTAAGCAGGCAGGTAGGCAGGCAGGTAGGCAGGAAGGCAGGCAGGCAGACAGACGCCGCCATTGGGAAGGGCCGCCACTGCCGCCGCCGCTGCTGCTGCTGCTGCGATGGGTAGTCGAGAGGTAGGGAGGATTGTCGGGAGGAAAGTCGAGGGAGATCCCGAGGGACCGCGTACCCAGGGTAGCTCTGACGCGGACTCAGACTCCCGAGGGACGCGAGCATCCGCCGGCGACGGCGCCGCCGAGCCCCCTCCGGCGCCGTCAGCGAGGTACCTGCCTCCTCAAGGACTCGGGAATATTGCGGAGGACCTTTGGTACCTGTCACGCCGATTCTGCGCGCGTTTGTCAGCCTGACTTCAAAGTAATGTAATTTTCGGTGCCGGTGGAAAAAAGGAGAGATATCGCGGGCATTTATTATAATATCCTGTGACGCGGCTCTGTTTTCTCTCGTAATTAATTTTCAGTCGATCGTCGTAATCTTATTGTTAGACGAGCTCGCAATTATTTTCAATTATTCGCAAGTGAGTCTCGATTGTTTGCCGAGCGAGCGCAGGCGGGTTGGAGCGAGCAGGCTCCCCGAAGGAGGTACCGAAAGAGAATCTCTTAAATCGACGCTGCCGTTGCGCGACGTGCATCGCCACAAAAGCGACGCCAAGTTTGCGGACTTGTCAACGGGTGGCCGCTTCTCAAAGGAATACCGCCGCGTCGCGGGAATGCGTCCTCGAGTATGTCTTTTGTAACGTGCGCTTTCCTTCCTACGGGGTACGCAGCCTTCCGCATACCGCCCGCTATTAAGAAGCACGCACACGCGGATGCCCGCGTCTCCAAGTTCGCCAAACTTCATCTCCCGTCTTCTAATTCCGTACGGACAATTTAACCTTGTCACGATCGTTGTAGTTTGCTGCAACATCGCATGCTTTTCCGAATCTTTAGGTAGATCTTTCTTAATAATTTAACGCACATGCCTTACTTTTTCTAAAGCGTAGTTTTGGCTGTTGTACCATCGTTACAAAACAATTTCGAAGATAGAAAAATAACTGGAGGGAAATAGGCGAAACTTTCGTTTCCAGTAATTGTAAACGAAAGCAATAAGTTTGCACGAGTCGAAATTTTGGTACTATTTTGACACTTTTGAGGATAATTTACACCTAAGGTGATCTATACATCTATAATACACAGGTCAGCAATAATCTACTTTAATGACATTATATTTTTTTACTCCTCCCTTCAATCTTTAATTCTAAAAATTTACTTTAGCTCCTACTTAAAAGGACGTACTTTAACGCTAAATTGGCAAAAGTAGAAATTTCCGACACTATCGGTTGTAAAGTAGGAGTAAATTTTGTGCCTGCAGTTCGTCCTCTTTTACTGTCTAAAAGGTCCTGCTATATAATAGAATTAAAGGCTCAACGTAGGGCCAAAATTTCGACTCGGGTGATAGACACTTTTGACGAAAACTTAATTATCGAAACGTAACGAGAGAAACGGATGTAATTGAAAGTCGCGTGACGTAGAAGCCGGGTGTGCTCCACGTAGACAATAATTTAACGAGAGGCCGATAACTTAATCCGAGTTAGCGGATGCGTTATAATGATTATGACCGCCGGTGAGGACTTAGTGCTGTCACTGCAAAAACTAATAGCGGCTTAAGTTTTAGAAGAGCCACGATTAAACGGCTTAAGACGCTAAGCCGCAAATTTACATTGTACCAGTAGCACGGCCGCCTCCTGTCTGTTCTGATAGTCCGCTGCTACTGCGATCCGAAGAAAAATTAATTAAGCAAGTGTTGTTATTGGTACATAACATTGATAACAACGTATAGTCGTCTCGTATCACTCGTCTCGAGTATATCAATGTAAAACGATTACCAATTAAATACATAATCTTATACCAATTAATCGCAATTATTATACTAACTCTGTTTCTCTGGCATAATCTTTTTACATAGCTTTTTTTATTTATAAGCAATTTGGCCCGACTGCAATTCACTATACCATTTTCGCTTTAATTACTTGTCTTGAATCGAACCAATCGCAGTTTAGCTCTAATGTTTAACGTAGGAAAAGGGAGGGAAATAATAATCATCGATAAGCAAGCGCCGCTCCAGCTCCGGATCGTTAATCATTTCTGCGCGTGTAAATTAATTCCGGGACGATAATTATGCATTTATGCGAGTACGCACAAATTACAATCACGTTCCTGAGGCATAATGCACATGATTCAGGTCATTGCGTCCTACTCACCAATTATAATGCGCTTATATATCGAGCATATTTAGGCGTTCCTTCATACTTGCCGTTAGAAATGCATATGCACACTGGCAAGCGGATTTACATATAATACATAATGCAGCTCTAATAATGCACTGTACGGATTGATAAATTAAGATTTCTCCAACAGTACGGGTACAGTTGCAGCTTCGCCGCTTCCACAATGCGTCCGTCCACGTACCGAAGTACTCGGCCAGAAGAATTTCATCTCGCATACGCGTATGAGCTGACTCTTCAATTTTACGCGACGCATTCTCTTTCCCGTTCGTTTCTCCAGCTAGCAATATAGTAATGAAAATAATAAATCTTAACATTTACTCGGCCGTCATTCGACACCCGATCCAATTCTACGAAAAAATATACAAGTTTGTTGAGTATATAGCAGCTTGATCTCAAGGAAGGAAAAATAAAAGAAAAACATTGCGCCCGTTTTATTTAGGATTGTCGAAAAATATTTGAAACGCAAGTCGGAATAACCCGAGGCCTGTCGATGCAAGCCGATATATTCCCATTAACGCAATTATCCTCCGTTCAACTGCTACCTACCGGTTGTCCAGGTTATGACGAGGGCATTGGAATCCATTAATACGGGTTCGGTCTCGCGCAGGTTCATTATCGTGCATTAATTAGCAACACCCTATATCACTGGCAATACTATCGGTACGGCTTGCTATTTCGCGGCTAACCACTGGCTCGTGACATCCTGACCACGCGATGGCAGTCGGCCTGATCCGATAAAAGACGACGGTTTATTTACCGCAACAAACAAGCAAACGCGTACAATATCGGATACTTTTACTATCGGTTTACATCGTGCTATCATTAACGGATGTCTAGCCATAATATGCCAATACCGGATAAACAGTTGACAATTAATTAAAGCCTTCATCGCTGTGATTTTTAATCCGTCATTGCGCGTACGTTTAATATCGTTTGAACGTTTCTTGTTTAACTTGGGAAATCTGTAATGAAAGATTACGGTTGACGCGTAAGAAGCAGCTAATGTACCTCGACGCGAAACTAAGATTGCTAGATACGATTGTTTTTTTCCCCCCATTTAAATCATGCCTGATTCGCGATACTCATCAATCAGCGCCAATATTTCGGCAGCCGAGTGCCTTTTACGTCCGCTATTGGAATCCGGATGTGGCTACCGAGCAATGGCTGGCTCGAAACGAACAACGTGAAAACTTTCGTTTCCGCTCAATCGTCAATTCTGCCAACAAACGAGAAATGATACGAGTACCGCGGCGCGGTCGCAATTTCGGTGGAAAAAGGGCCGCGCTCTACCATATACACGATGCTATGTACAGCCATCGCGGAGCCTGCGAGATCTTCGTGGTCGTAAATCGCATTTTCGTTCATAGCTGAAGCCGACCGAATTTATAATTTGCAAGATTCACCTTAAATATGAAATCATCTAAAACAAAACTCCACAGTCTAAAGCCTAACTCTACGTCTCTTATTCATTGTCCAAGAATTGAATAATTTCTTGCGACAATGTAAGGACTTGAAAAAATTGTATACGCGAGAAATTGTAAAATAAAGATGAGACGAATGAGGAACTGTTGCGCGCGGAGAAGAAATGGAGGAAAACTCGAAGAAACAGCAGGCTCAAAGGAGAGGAGAGAAATCGCTGGTGGATCAGTAGTTAGAGAGAGAGAGAGAAAGAGAGGGGGGGAGGGAGAGGTTGGAAAGCTGGAGGAGCGAGATGAGCGCGCGAAAGGAGATGCAGGACGAGGAGGACGAGAGGAGTGCGACCAGAATTGGATAGGATAGGCGAACTGGTGATTACAGAGGCCGGGGATTCCCCGGGGACGAGCGCCGGTCTCCCGCGGGCTTCCACCTAATTCCATCCTGGCTGACTACTGACTCTCCTCTCCCTCTATCTTCCTCTCTATCTCTTCCGTGTATCTATTGCCTCTCTTTCTGCTTCCAACCGTTCACGTCTGCTGATGTTCCGCTCTGTCTCTTTCTCGCTTTCTCCCTCCCACCCTTTACAACGAGGCGCTCCGTCCTGCTTTTATCCTCCGCGTTTGATCAACCCTCAACTCTTTCTCTTTCCTCCCCACACACGTCCCATTTCTCTCGTCATTTCTTTTTCCGCGTCTATTTGTCTCGTTTCTTGCATTTCTCCCCGGCCTTTATCCCGCATTTGCGATTTGCCTTTTTCTCATCTTCACTTTCTTTATCTCTCATTCTCGTCTTCCATTTTTATGATAACCGTATTTCAGTCATTCGGTTGCACGTATGCTCCAACAATCCAACATCCTCGTATGATGCTGCAGCAGACGTTTGGCAGTTTTCACCGTTCTATTTTTTGTCCCCGTTTTTCGCCACTCGCCGTGACGAATTGACGGATGCCGCGTTACTCGATAATTGATACTGTTAGGTGAACAATTGGCCAAAATAAACTCTTCGCGAGTGGAGCAATTATATATATTTTTTTTCGTATCGAGAGTCATGATTTAAAAAGTTAACAAGATTATTAATCAACGCCTTGTACGAAAAAAGTCGCTTTTGTGTAGATTATTTACTCGTCACCTTTTTTTATTTATAAACAAGCCACGCTTCGTCCTGTGTCCGCGACGAAATAAAATAGAACACTACGATTGCACGATTGTAGAATGCAATGCAAATGTACAATCGTTAAAAACAGCAGAATTCTCAAGTTCTGAAGTTACTTGGATAATTCGGTCGTTTTTGTAATTACTACAGCGTTACGGTGGACTTTCTGCAACAATAGTGGCTTTTGGCACTCGTATCGTACGTTACTTTTATGTCGGGCCACGGTTGCACGTGTCTGGAAGTTTCGCGGAGCACCCTTTTAGCCAAGACTTCTTTTTCGCCCTTCACACAACGGCGCTCTCACACGGACAAACACCTTGCGACAAACTTTGCTATTATTCGCGTGTCTTTGCGACACAAATGTGAGAGCTCGTGAACGTTAATTCCGTAAAGCCGCCGTCATCCAGGGACCCTAGATTCTCACGTTTGTTTTATTTTGATTCTTTTTCCCCTTCACGTTTACCGCGCGCAAACTTTCCTCTTTTCTTTGCCCTTTTTCCACCCGTTCCTTCGTGCGACGAATCGAAAAGGTCGAGAAGGTTTCCAACATCATAAATTGGAATTGTTTCGAGGTTAAATGCGCGGTAGTATACGCACGTATACAGTACGTATTTTAATTTATCTCGGTGCGTAAGTTTCACAGTCAAGATTCATAAACGACCGAGTACTTGCTTTCTAAAAATGAAAATAATTAACGGCGCACACTTCAAAGCCGCGTCAAATTCACGTCCGCGGACGTGTCGAACAATTGCTACTGAAATATTTCTTCTGGCAACAACAATAGCTAACATTAATCTGTTTATATCGTACACTCAAACATTTGTAATTCCTATCGATTTCTATACATTAATTGTCAATGATATGTACACTGGGGAATCGCTGATGCCTTCCCACATGAATTTAGGCACAGGTAAAACACACGTGCACTCTCCATGTGTGTACGTGCAAAATGTATAAATGTGTCGATACGTGCACAAATTCATGTGGGGGAGGCATCGGCGATTCCTAGATGTACCCCGTCCGGAGTGACCAATAATATCGAATATCTATACGAAACGAGTAGCGACACGATAGTGGTGACTTACGTTTGAGAGATCGAGGCTTCGCCTGCTTCCTCCTGGACATATCACCGCACTGGCACGCACTTGCGAACGTGGACGGGGGACACGGGGGATCAATAGCCGCTCCTCGCCGGCATGTCACTCGCGCTCGTCGGCAACTCGAATTTCACGACGTTCCCTCGCCGTCGGCGATTTTGTCCGCGGGGAACGTGGGCCGTGAGCCGCGGACGCCGAACCCGATGGGGTCGGCGCGTCCAGCTTCGAAGGTTCGCGCGCGCCGGGGGCCGAGACGGGAAATCGAAAACGGCGCGCGTAAGTAACCACGTGGCCTGCGGCGCACGATCGGGCCGTACGAGCGGGGCGCGCGCCTCGTACGGACCGGCGACAGCCGCGCTCGGAGGACGCGCGACGAATGGACGCGGTCGCGTCGCGCCCGCGGAGAACCACTGGCGTACGAGCGTTGCGCAAGCGTGCGGTCCGCGCGGCCGCTCTGCGCGCGCGACACTCCGCCACGCTTTTTAATTCGATATTTTCGGCAACGGAACAGAAATACGTACCCACCGCGAGTTTTTGCCGCGACGTTTCCAAGAACCGCGCTTGTAAACACGTACAATGCTGTTGTTATGTAGACTCGCTACGCGCGCGAGGAGACGGTTGGAAAACTATGAACATTATTTCTTAGGGTCACAGCACAAAGCAACGTAATAGCTTACGACAGAGACGCGAGCGTAAACGTAGATAGCGCATAAGCTTTGGCGTCAAAGTAACGTCGTATGTAATTGGAAGTAAGTACAACATACGCCAAAGCTTGTGCGCTATCTACGTTTACGCTTGCGTCTTTGTCGTAAGCTATTACGTTACTTTGTGCTCTGACCCTTAGGCTGACGCAGAGAACGATCTGTAAACGCTTAAGGCTAATGTTACATTTGTCGTACGATAGATAGTACCTTAAGACTGTCTTAGTCGTAGACGCAAGACAAGCGGAGAAAAACGTAAGTCGTATACAATAGCCTCTCACGACTTAAAGGCCCGAGCACACATAAAAAACTTAAGCAGTAGAACCTGAAACTTAAGAGAAATGACCAGTGGCTGTCGAGAACGCGAGCAGCCATTTTGAACCTTAAGCAATGCTGAAAATTTCGACCGGTCGAAATTCTCAAGTTTTAAGTCTCGCTGCTTGAGTTTCCTCGTGTGTTTCCAGCCTGACGCTCTTGACGCAGCGAGAAATGACTCGTCGGTCGATGCCAAATCGACATCGACGCCGTCAAATTGATGTCGAACTTGACAATGTCGGTGTCGATTCGACGTTTCGACGAATCATTTCTCACCGGGAAGCGTTTACATCCCGTTCTCTGTTACCAGCCTTACGCGCTACCTCGCTCGTTAACAATTGTATGAAACACAATTTCGTGTTTTACACGATTGTATGAGGTACAAAAATGGAATACGGATAGCACGCTCGCTATGCGCTACGAGTTGCGTGCAACCCAGCGAGAAATGACCTCGTCGATCGATGTTGAAACGATGTCGGATCGACATCGGCACCGTCGAATTGACGTCGATTCGACACCGGTCGACGAATCGTTTCTCACTGGAAATGTATTTTCGTGCGATTTAGCATAGATTTCTACTTTATCGTTTATGGAGAGGCAACGGAATATGATAACGCATCGACAGAGTGCACGGTACAAAGGCGCGCGAAATTCCTCTAATTACTCGACTCGTTGAAAGCCTGTATCCACGATGCTAGAACTTGG